CCGGAGGCGGGGCCGCGGGTCCCGGGGGCGGGCCCGTGCCTAGAGGTGAGGCCGTGGGCCCCGGGGATGATGCCATCCACCTGGGGCACCAAAATAGCTCGGGCTGGCCCTGCTGCTGCTGACCTCACTGCTGCCAGGGTTGGAGCTCCCTAGCCACTGGGAGCTGTCTGCTGTGCCACCCACCCCCCTGCCATGGGGCTCTTGCTGACTCACTGCCCCCTGCCACAGGGCCCCCACTAAGTTGCCAGACCTCCCTACTCTTGGGCTCCATGGTCCAGCAACATACGTGGTTCTGCCAGACCAGGGACATTGCTGGACCAGAGTCCTGGTTTGCAGAGGTACAATCTGTATTCTGAGAATGGCGTATAATGTATTCAAACCACACATCATGCAGCTCTAACTGTTGTAAAATGGGATCAAAATGACTAGTTCACTGTCCTATGCGATGTGCCCCCTGGAGCACAAGTCATGTTATTTATATTCAGGGTCAAACTGTCCCAGTTCAGAGTTTAAAATTCAGTTCTCTAGTTCAATCCCATCTTTAATTGTATTATTGATTTTAGCCTCCAGGGCCATACACTAGACGCCATGTGACCCAGTCATGGGGAACCACAACTAAAACAAAAGAGAAACTTGTTTCCCGCACAGTAGTTTAATAAGTGTCGGAGATGTCAAGAATGCAGCTTATTGTAGACATGTTGGAATTAATGAGCTGGAAGTCTTGTGTTTTTTATATGCCTGTCTCTGCTCAAATATTTACAGACTAGCCAATTTGCCCGTCATAAGAGGGGATTTTCAGGTCTTTTCTCCTGAGCTCTCTCACTCTGTGTGTCTCTCTCTCTCTCTCTCTTCTCCTACTGCCTCCCCCCACTCAGCTTTCCTCCACCTCCTGCCTCTCTCTCAGTCTCTTTCTTGTGCCTCTCTTTGTTCTCCTCCTCCTCCTGCCTCTCTCTCACCTCCATCTCTCCCAGCCCCCCTTCCTCTTCCCCTCCCGCCGTGGCGCTCGGCTGAGTGCTGCCTGCTTAGCCAGGCTGTCGCGAGGGAGGGGATCAGGGCGGTGATGTACATGGCTAGGGGGCGGGGCTGTGTTCCACTTTCCACATTCCATGAGGAGTAACGGTAGTTCGGAATAGGAAGCCTAATCCGAACTACCTAGTTCATGCCGCGTGTAGCCGCGGGCACGGAGTCCGAACTAGCGGGCATTTAAAAATGGCGGAGCCCGGCAATATGCAAATGAAGCCTGGGAAATTCAAATCCCGGGCTTCATTTGCAACTCCGGTTGCCTACATTAACCACCCTAGTTCAAACTAGGGTGGTAGTGTAGACATACCCTTACATACTCACAGACATTGGGCTACTATATATATGATGTGTACCTGGAAAACACCCAGGAACATCACATTTTAATAGATTGAGGACTGCTTTATGTCAATGTGGAGATGCCTTAGAGCAAGATGCAGCCTGTAGCCAAACCTGGTCCTCCAAGCCACCAGATCTGGCCCGAGGCTGCTTCATCAGATTTCTTTTGGCCAATCCTCAAATTTGTCCAGGTCACTCTGGACTCTATCCCTGCCCTCCAGCGTATCTACCTCTCCCCCTAGCTTAGTGTCATCCATGAACTTGCTGAGGGGGCAATCCATCCCCTCATCCAGGTCATTAATAAAGTGTGATGGACCCCTCCCCCCCCCCATGCTCTATGAAATGGACTTATGGACACAAATATGCATAACTCAAAGATACTTGGGACAAATTGCCTCATGTAACCTGTCAATCTTAATGTCATAAACCACTGGATCTGTCTATCATATATTGGTATATGCATCATTCTTGGGTGTAAAGTTGGAGTATGGAATGGTTTGTGGTTTGTGGTTTTAAGAGTGCAAAGGCAAGCCCTCGAGAGTGTTTCCCTCAAGTTCTGGTCAATTCTAAACAGCTTTTGTCCTTTTAGTCTTAGCAGTGGTTGATCCTAGGAAGCCATGTGACCTCCCAACAGGTAGGGCCTGACGAGCTGTGATTTTTCCATGCAAGAGTGGAATGTAGAAACAAAATTCCTGCCCAAAGGTGGAATCTATAAAACAATAGGGAGCTGGCACTTTCTTTGTCTTTGGTTGTCATGGCACACCTGAGAGGATGAACCAAAGACACCAGAGAGAAGGATTTTCTCTGGTTTGGAGACTTATCTGGAATAAGAACAGTTTGAGGGTGAGATGGTTATAAGTTTCTATGGAGGTCTTAGTGTTAGAAAACACTTGGCTAATTCTGTTAGTTTAAATCTGTAAGGGTATGTCTACATTACAAAGTTAATGCAAACAAACAGCCACTAGTTCGAATTAACTTTGATAGGCGCTACACAGGCAAACCGCTAGTTCGAACTTAATTCAAACTAGCGGAGCGCTTAATTTGAACTAGGTAAACCTCATTCTACGAGTACTAACGCCTAGTTCGAATTAAGTAGTTCGAATTAAGGGCTGTGTAGACCCTTAATTCGAACTAGTGGGAGGCTAGCCCTTCCCAGCTTGCCCTGGTGGCCACTCTGGGCACAACTAGGGAAACTCATCTGCCTCCCTCCCAGCCCCGGAGCCCTTAAAGGGGCACGGTCTGGCTACGGTGCCTATGCCAGGTGCAAGCCTGCCAGCACCCAGCCAGCAGACCGTGCACCTGGCACGGCACGAGCCAGCCACCCACTGCCATCCAGCCCTCCGCCTCTTCCCGGGACCAGGTGGTGGCTCCCAGGAGCCTGCCCGGGGCCGCAAGAGGACCTCATCCAGGGTTGGGGGGAGGCCTCCAACGTCCACGACCTCTGCACTAGGCACAGGAAAGTGGCAGTCTGGGGCAGGATAGCTGCCAGCCTGGCCACCAAAGTCCACATGCGAACCCACGAGCAGGTTTGCATGAAAATCAAGGTGGTCGAGTGAGACCCCTGACCCTGAGCTTAGAACATAAGAACTTAAGAATGGCTGTACTGGGTCAGACCAAAGGTCCATCTAGCCCAGTAGCCCATCTGCCGACAGTGGTCAGCACCAGCTACCCTGGAGGGGATTGACTGAAGACAATGACCAAGCGATATGTCTCGTGCCATCCATCTCCAGCCTTCCACAAACAGAGGCCAGGGAGACCGTTCCTACCCCCGGGCTAATAGCAGTCCATGGACCCAACTTCCATGAATTTATCTAACTTCTCTTTAAACTCTGTTCTAGTTCTAGCCTTCACAGCCTCCTGTGGCAAGGAGTTCCACAGGTTGACTATGCGCTGTGTGAAGAAGAACTTTCTTTTATTAGTTTTAAGCCTGCTACCCATTAATTTCATTTGGTGTCCTCTAGTCCT